CAGCACTATATCAGATAATGTTTCAAGGTTATTCATAAAGTTTTCTAGGAATATATTAGACAGTATTTCACTACTATCCATAAGATTTTCACTAGTCAGTTTTTTCAAAAGTGGATGGCCCCATCCTTTTTTCCAGCCTGTCTTAGTCCGGAAGCTCCACTAAAACCTGTCCACCAAGGGTGAGCCTGCTGGTATTTGAAATACTGGTGGCATAGCCTCCAGCCTCACAGCAACATGCAAACCAACACAGTATGAAAAACTGAGAGAAGAGTGGTGAAGATTAGCATAAAACCAAAAACCCAAATCCACTGCCGTGGAGTCAGATCTGACTCACAGCGACCCCTCCTTGGGTTTCCGAGGTGGTATCACTACAGAAGTAGGTTGTCCAACCTTCCTTCCGAGGAGTGGCTGGTGGGTTTGAACCACCAGCCTTCTGGTTAGCAGTCACATGCCTTAGGTACTAAGCCACCAAAACTCCTGAAAATTAACACAGAGGAGCTCAAAAAACAGGTGCACATTTGAATTGATCATTTTGGAATCCATTTGTTAGAGCTTTACTGTGTTGTTACAGGAGTGTGGAAGCTAGGAATTTACGGGAGGAAGAAGGCCCTTGTTTCCCACATACTTCCCAATTCTTTGTCCAAAAAGTCATCTCCATTCTGTGTCAGGGGAATATGCTTAACATCCAGCTGTTTACCCCTGCACCCGCCTGCACTGGTGGTGGGGGTAGAAAGTGCCTCTTGCTCCTTAGTGGGGCATTTGGAAGAGACACAAATGCATTCCGTCTAGCCATTCCATTTCTAAGAATGTATCCCATGAAGACGCTCACACAGTCTGCAGACCATGTGCACACAGATGTTTATTGTAAACTTCTCAGCAGAAAACTAGTTTTTGGTTGGGGTCTAGTTTGTAAAGCTGGCTCCACATACCACAGGGGTTGCATAGGACGGCCCATTGAGATTAGAGGAGGAAAACAGAGATAGAAATTCAGCTTCACTAATACTGAATGTTAGAGTCTCTGTGTGGTGCAAACGATTAACTCAAATGATTAAACAGAAATTTTGGTGGTTCAGCTTTACCCAAAGGTGCCTCAGAAGAAAGGTCTGGTGATCTCCTTTTGAAAAACCAGCCATTTGAAACCTTATAGAACACACTTCTAGTCTGACATACCTGGGGTCATCGTGAGTGAGAATCAACTGAACAGCAACCTGTTGGTTAATACTAAATGTTAGGATCAACTCCACGCTGTCACCTGATCACTTGTATAAATGGCCACAAACACATCGTCCTCACAGGGAAGTGGTGGGTGGGCAGTGACTCCTAGGTCACTTGTTCTTTTGTTTTGTTTTTTATTTTTTATTGTGATTAGGGTGAAAGTTTACAGAGCAAATTCATTTTCCCTACAGCAATTCATACACATTTTGTTTCATGACATTGACTGCCATTTCCCACAATGCAACAGCTCTCTTCCCACTTCCTCCCTGTAGTTACCTCTTCCCTGAGTCCTTCTTTCCTATACATTCCTGCCCCCTGAGCTGTCTCCCTGTGTAAACACTGCCCTTCTGTTCTCCCATGATTGATCCTTCTAAGGAGTGTATCTACCTGATGTCAATGTTCACCCTCTACTCCTGTCTGTTGTTTGGCTGGAAGCCATGGGAGTGAGTTCAGTTCCAGATCTGAAGGGTAACTGGGGGCCATAGTCTTGGAAGTCTCACCAGGCTCTATTGGACTGGTAAACCTGGTCTTTTTTTTTTTTTTTTTAATGATTTTGAGTTTTGTTCCACATTGTTTTCACATTCTCTCTAGGGTCTCCTGCACTGATCTCTTCCCAAGTGGTTGACTGTGGTAACCAGGCACCATTTAGTTCTTCTGATCTAATGGTCACATAGGCTAAAGTTTGCTTGGTCTGCTAGTCCCTTGGGAGTTCTGGTGGCATAGTGCCTTAGGGCATTTGACTGCTAACCAGAAGGTTGGCAGTTCAAACCCAGTAGACACTCCTCAGAAGGAAGATTGGACAATCTACTTCTGTAGTGATACCGCCTCGGAAACTGAAGGAGAGGTCGCTATGAGTCAAATTGACTCAATGGCAGTAAGTTTGTTTTTCTGGTTTTTCACTAGTCCCTTGGACTAATTGTTTCCATGGGTCTTTGGGGTCTTCTTCATTCTTCTTCGCTCTGGATGAGGAGAGGCCAGTGTTGCATCTAGACGGCCACTTGCAAGCTTTTAAGATCCCAGTTGCTAGTCACCAAAGTAGGATGTGGAACAATGTTTTTGTGTAGTATGTTATGCCAGTTGAGCTTGAGACCCCCCTGTGACCATGGTCGTGAGCCCACAAGTCCAACTACTCACTCCCTCAGGGTGGTTGGCTGTGGCCAAGAAGTTGTCATAACTTTGCCCCTTGTTAGCTTTATTGCAGCTCACTTGTGGATTTGCTTGTAGCTGTTATTACATTTTGCAGTTCCCATGTGCCTGGTTAAGTGGATTCTAGGTTATTCTCTTTAATCTTATGTCAGTAAATTCATATGTAGCCTTCAGCCAGTCTTAGAACCTAACTTGCTTTTCCAGGAACACCTTGGCGGAAGGAGCAGACGGAGGACCTACAGCGGGTGCTTAAGGATGTTGACAGGGAGATACCCCTGGTCCTTGTCAGTGGCAACCATGACATTGGCAACGTCCCCACAGCTGAGTCCATTGCCGAGTTCTGCCAGACTTGGGGAGATGACTATTTCAGCTTCTGGGTCGGGGGCGTCCTGTTCCTTGTCCTCAACTCCCAGTTCTTCTACGATGCCTCCAAGTGCCCTGCCCTGAAGCAGGCCCAGGACCAGTGGCTGGGCGAGCAGCTGAGCATCGCAGGGGAGCGCAGGTGCCAGCATGCCATCGTCTTCCAGCACATCCCGCTGTTCCTCCAGAGCATCGACGAAGATGATGACTACTTCAACCTCGCCAAGTCGGTTCGGCAGGAGGTGGCAGACAAGTTCATCAAAGCAGGTAGGAGCCCTAGGACCACAGTGTCTGAGTGAGGGGGTCTGCAGGAGTTTCTAGCTCTTTCTCCTGCCCTCTGCAGCCTGGCAAAGAGGGGAGAGGGAACAAGGCTTTGGGAAAAACTGGGTTCTGATCTCGGCTCTGCCCTCACTGGCTGTGTGGCCTGGCATAAGCTGCCTGATCCTTCTGAACCTCACTCTTTGCATCTGTGAAATGGGTAGAGCTGGTAGCTCGCTCAGAAGATGCTGGGAGGGTTCAGTGAGAAGAGACCTATACCTTCAGAGCAGCCGCTGGCTCCAGTCACTCACAGTGGAGGGATGGGGACTTTCAGGGCTGGGGATCAGGGTGTGGGTCTGCAGGTGGCTGCGTGTACTGCAGGAGGACCAAAGACACAAGGGAGTCTTCTTGCATTTTTCCAGACAGCAGGAACTAGCTTAAGGATGGGCGTCTGTAAGAGCCAGCCTCACACAGTATTAGTGAAATATGACCTGGGAAACCCTGGGAAGTAGTTTTAATGGGCAGGGACTGGGGCCTCGTCAGTTTACCTTTAGGGAGGTGGGCTAAGCCCTCTTCTAGAATCAGAGGACAGAAAAATGCATTCCGTTTGATCTCACCCTGCAACAGAGTTTAGCTAATCATGCATTTGACAAGTGCACGTGCGTGCACGCACGCACACACACACACACACACACACCCGACAGCAGTCCATTTTTCTGATGAGATGTCAGGGTCCGACTGCCCTGTACCTGGCATTTGCCCATACACCCCATTTCTCCTCTTGGTCACACCTACAGCATTCGTCCCACAAGAAATGGTATGTTCCAAGCAATTCCCTGCAGGTACCAGCCACTTAACAGATTCCAGTGTTGACAACGGGTATGTCTCTTGCTCTGGTCCTAATTTCTCCTTTCAGATCTTTCCAGAGTGTGCTTCATCCTCTTCTCAAATTTGAATCTGTGTGTGGATTTGTCATGGGGTGGGGAGAGACGTGTCCTGATTCTAGTAGCAAGCAAACTTAATGCCATCAAGTCGATACCGACTCATAGCACTCAGACCACTGGGTCTCCGAGGCTATAAATCTTTACAGAAGCAGACTGTCTCACCTTTCTTCCGTGGAGCATTTGGTGGGTTCGAACCTTTTGGTTAGCAGCCAGATAAATGCCTTAACCACTACGCCACCAGAGCTCCTTCCAATAGCAAACACTCTCTTAAAAACAAATAACCAGCAGCTCTCCTATTCAACTTTGTGCGTTAGATGTGTTAGCGTTTACTTGTGCAAAACACAATAAGGCCTTCTGTATTTTAGAGCATTTCACAAAAATCTTGCATAATTGGAGACATGTTCCAACTGTTCCACGGAGATAAAGTTGGAAAACTTCTATTAAGGCCTTCGAAATTTTATGCCATGCTTGAGTTGGTACAGAAAACCATTCTGATGACAAGGAAATGAAGTGTCAGGATGGCATAGCACCCCCACAGAAATGAGTGTGTAACAGAATAATGCCGGAGAGAACAGTTAATTCCGCTGGAACGGTTCCTGTCACAGGCAGTGTTAAGTGATGTGCAGGCATCCTGGTGACCACTGCTGTTAGTTCTCCACGCTCGCTCATAAACCAGCTTCTTGATGGCACAGTTCCCATCATCAAAACAAAACAAACCAACCAACAAATGAAAACATCAAGTCAACTCCAACTCATGGCAGTCCACAGTGTGTGTCAGAGTAGAACAGTGCTCCACAGTGTTTTCTTTCTTTTTATTTTAAGAGCTTGTTTTACATTCAATGTTACGTGTACATTTAGTTTCACTCCCCATTTACCATGTCCAACCCTAACCCGGTCTCCTCCCCTCCCTGCCCTGTAACCCTCCCCCCGTGCCCCTCATATTTATGCACTTCTGTTTGTCCTGCATTTCTTCCTTTTGAATGTTGGTCCTCTGGTGCCCCATGGTCTATTGCTCTAAGGAATGTATTACCATAGAGTATGTGGGTGCATCATCCTGGGTTGAGTGGTCTGCATGTACATCTTGTTAGCTGTTGGGCTGAAAGCCAGACCCTGGGGGTGAGTTTTATTCCAGGTGCTGAATGTGTTTCAGGGCCATAGCGTTGGGGGTCTCATCAGACTTCCTCTGACCAGTAATTCTGGTCATTATTGAGTTTTTGGATTTTGTTTCACGTTTTCCCTCCCACTCTATCCAGGATCTCCAGATTTGATCCTTTCCTGAGTGGTTGGCATTGGTTGTTGTGTTGTTATATGCCATCGAGTCAGCCCCAACTCAAAGTGACCCCTCCTTGGGTTGCCGCGGCAGTATCACTACGGAAGTAGATTGCCCAACCTTCCTTCCGAGAAGTGGCTGGTGGGTTTGAACCATAGCTGGGCACAATCTAGTTCTTCTGGTCTCGAGGCCATCGTGTCCTATGGCTGATGGCTTCCAAATGACCTTTTTTTTTTCTTTTTCTTTTTTGCATTCTTCTTCTTTGCTTCCGATGCTCAGAGACCATTAGCTGCATCATAGATGGCCGCTTGAAAGCTTTTAAAAACCCAGTCGCTACTCACTAATGTAGGATGCAGAACAAGGCTTTTATATATTTTGTTGTGCCAATTGAGTCTGGTGTCCCCCCGTACTATAGTCCTGAGACAGTAGATCTGTTGGATCTCTCTCCCATAGTGTCTGGGTGTCTGTGATGGATTACCCTTTGTCTATCTTCTGTTGTTTCTGTAATGATTGCAGGTATTTTGTATCACTGGTGTTTGTGTAAGATTAGCTTCAGCTGAATTTATCCTTGGTCTAGAGTCCACAGTGTTGTTGGTGGCTGGTTTTTCAGACCTAGATTGCCAGGCCTTTCTTCTGAGGCATGCAAGCACCTCAGATACTGAGACCTAAGAGTATGTAGACATTTAGAGAGAGAACCCATGTTCCACTAGGGCCCCTGGGGAGAAACCTGGTGACCACCCACGGAAAAAGTCCTGGAGCATGGTATTCTTTCAGGGTGTCCCAACCAGCTCCCCAGCCAGGCCTGCAGCAAGCTCAGGGACTAGATATGCTGCACACCCAGAGCCTGTATGTGTTGCTGAAGTGAGTTGAGATGAGCACAGCTCACAGAGACTGATGGCTCCAACCAGAATGCCAGTGGATTGATTGAGAGCAAGACTGAACCATTCCCATCAACACCAGCGTGCAGCCTCTTCCTGGAGGCAGTGCTACATAGGAGGCCAAATTATAATCAGGAGGTTGCTTGGTAATCATTAGGCAGAGTGGGGAGTGAGTGTTGTTGTTCCACTGCTGATGGCATCAGCCTCTGGAACCCTGATGAAGCTGCCTCCACTCCAGGCTCTCTTGCCCAGTGGGACTCTGATCTTTCCAGTCCCTTTAATTCTGCCTTTTTAATGTTGCTTCATGAGGGGCAGTGGTGGTTCTGCAGTAGAATTCTCATGTTCCATGAGGGAGTCCTGTGTTCGATTGCCGGCCAGTGCACCTCGTGCAGCCACCACCTGTCACTGGAGGCTTGTGTGTTACTGTGATGCTGAAAAGGTTCAGCGGAGCTTCCGGACTCAGACTAGCCAGGAAGAAAGGCCTGGAGACCTACTTCTGAAAATCAGCCTTTGAAAACCCTGTGGGTCATGGTGGTCCCGTCCACAGCCAATCACGCTGGCATAGAACTGGGCAGAGTTTGGTTCCCTTGGGCATGAGGTCGCCCTGAATCAGGGCCGACTCGATGACAACCAGCACCAGTACCGCTCCTGTCTGTCCACTTCCTTAGGCCACTGTCCTCTCTCCTTTGGGTCTTTGCAACACCTTTGACCTGGTCTCCCTGTGTCCACTCTGCCCCATTCTGCCCCATTCCATTCCATTCTCCACCAGGGGGTGTGTTGCTGTGTAGTCTGAAGCCTGTCTGATGCCCTGTCACCCCAGAAGAAGGCCTGGCTCCCCACCATGGTGTCTGCTGCCCTTTCTGATCTCCTCTGCCTTCTGCTCTGGCCTCTTCTCTTTGTCCTGGCCAATGCCTACTCATCTTTGATACTTTCTGTCTGTGAGGTACTCCCACCTGGCCCCAGGTTTGTTCCTCAACTCTCCTTGATCCCAGCACTTACCCAACTGATCTGTAAGGGTTTACTTATCTGAAATCCCCCACTAGGATATCAGTTCCTTGAGGACAGGGACTGTGTTCTATTCATCTCTACATTCAGGATACCGCTCGTGTTAGCTCAAATGCTTAATCAGTGTTTGTGGAATGAATAAAGGAGTGAACATCTTTGACTCAGTTCTTTCCCTTGTTGGCTGACTGGCAGCTCCCTTACTTGGTAAGCACTTGTGGTATGCCAAGGGCATGGCAGACCAGTCTGCATGCTCACAGTGCTCACCGGCCCAGTTGTCAGGTTCACATCACATGCCTTGAAGCCTTTTGGTCTTTTCTGTCTTCTGCTGATCCAGATGCGGGCCTTCCAGGTTCACACACACAGCAGCCTGTTTCCCATCATAGCCCCTTGCACCACCTTCAGACAGGACAGGTGTCCTCTTTTTGGCCACTTAACCGGGGAAAGCAAAGATGGGTGCTCTCCCTGCAGTCACCTGTCAGTCCTAGTGGCTTGCCAAGCCAGGTCCTTTGTTGGATGGCCTTTGAAACCAGAACAGCCATGGGCTGTTAGCAGGAGCCCAAGTCTGGTGTGGACAGCTCCGGTGCAGGCCAGGTGACCTGTTGGTTGGAAGCACAGGTGGGGCTCCATGAGGGGTGTAAGTGTCTGAAACCCAGGAATGTGGAAGATCGCTCGGCTCACAGCAGCGTCATTGCAACACGTTTTGGAAAGCCAGAAGTTCAAGTGCTGTTTTGTAGAATTGATTACCGGAAGGACTGTGATAACATTGGGGGTGATGATGACAGATGGAATTTAATATTGCCTCTGGCTTCCCCACTCCACCCCCAGCAATACTTTCCCGAATGCTATCTCAGTCTCATCTGTCTCCTATGCTGAAATGCCAGTACTCAAAAATATGTCAAAAGCTCATCAGAC